ATTATACATTTTAGAATTTCAATCTGGTTAGTTTTCATTTTATATTTATAAAAATAATCTTGCAATATGCTTTTAAATTTAAGGACAAGGCTGTTGAAAAAAATTGAAAACACCTTCAAATAGAAAGACAAAGAATATGAAATCAAACCAGACTAAAAAGAATATTTGTGCCTGCATCAATCCAGTTAAAAGCAGGAAAAAGAGAAGTTGTAGAAAAAAAAAACATCCAGGCCCAAGAATTACACAAAGAAACAAATGGTCAAGTTACCCACTAAGAAAAAGAAAAGAGGCTCTAAAAAGAAAAAATCAAAGCCTAAAAGAAGAAAGATTAGTTAGAATTTTCAATCTTTTTGAATATTGAAAAATGTTATTATTAAAATACAAATATGTTGCAAGGGATTAAAAGTTAAAAGTTACATTAAAAATTTTATAAACTTTTTAACAAAACTATTTAATAAATTTATTATTATTATTATTATGTAGTGACAATATTTCTGGCATTTGCAAATTCATTTGTGTAAATCAACTTTGTAAAATGATCAAAGTTGTGCATTGGATGTCATGCCAATAGTTTTACTAATTTAAGAAAAAAAAACTTTGCAAAAAAAACATTAAAGACATTTAAAGAACATTTTATTTTGCTGCTAGCACTTTCGACACATTAATGGGCATTGTCCTCATTACTGCATCAAAAGCACTAGCAGCAAAATAAAATGTTCTTTAAATGTCTTTAATGCCTTTTTTGCAAAAGAAAGGTTTTACCTTTGTAAAAGTCATATTTATATTTTTATGTATTTACTAGCTTACCCATCACGCATTGCTGCGATCTCAGAAGAAACGAAATTCAAGCAAACTCGTTATAGTAAAATTCAATTTACATTTTATCATTTTTATTGAAATTTATTATTATTATTATTATTCATTTTCATCGGGAAAACATTTCAAAGTGTCGTTTCAATTCTATTTATTTATTGGAGTGCTTGTGGATACACAATATTTTTTGTTTTTCCGTCTGGTGCGTACATGAATAAATCNTAAATTATTATATGAAATTCAATAAACTTCATATAATAATGTCATTTTTCTTTTGCTCTCTTTGCCAATCATTGTACATATCAATACTTGATTTCTGTTATATTAAATAAATAAATAAGATATAAATGATATTATATACAGTAGATCTTTTCAATTATACTGAAAATTTCAAAAATTATTTATTTTAATTTTAAAAAATTTATTTATTAATCATTTTATATAATTGCTAGAATTTATTAAAATCAAACATTTTATGAATTTGTTCAAACTGTTGACTGCAAAAAATGTTCTTTTTATAATCATGGATTATTTAATACAATAAAATGATAAGCATGGCATATGATATAGTTAATTAATCATTTATATATAACAGTATCCAATACATTTTATCATTAAATATATTAATCTGGCCTACTGCCAGATTAATATATTTAATGATGTAAAATGGAAATACAAAAAATTTGTGTTTACTTTGTAAATACATATTCTAATATGTATATGGTTAAATATAATATTTAAAAGAAACATTTACACACTTAATAATTTTGCCTTATTTAACATTGCTCATACAATGCAGGCAGGTACACAAACTTCAAATGTTGTAGACTAATGGATATTTTGCAGTTTATGCAAAACGTCATGGTTTAGATATGTTTTTGCACCATTTAGTTTCCCCATTATTTAATGAGTACATTTACCTCCTTCAGTTTGCACCAAAATCCTTTTTTTTACACTAACATTATTCTCTTCTCTTTCATCCTTATCACTTCTTTCTAGCAAAATCTTATGAATTCTCTGCTGATTATGCAATAGGAAAAATTCTTGTGCCTTGAGGTAGAAAATGACAAAAGATATGTAAATGTTTCAAAATAATACTTGTACAGAAACCTAAAAACTTGCTAGAGTGTTTCTTTATTAATTAATAAAAAGCAATCTTAAAGATTTTATTTTCTGTTAGTAAAAAACATTGCATTAAAATTACACTTATCATGCTTTCATTCTTATAGAAACTACCACTGGATGTGTATATGGAGCTTTAATTGCAAGTAGGTTGAGTGACATTCAAAAGCACTTCGGTGATAGTCACCCCAACTGGTATCTGTATTCTTTTCTTTCATTATTTTTTGTGGAAAAACTACACAAATAGTGAATGAATAGGACATTAGCATGTTCAGAAGTATTTCCAGGAAAGTTAATGAAGATCCCAAAAATATTAAAACTGCCATGCATGAACAGTATGCATTAAAATACAATTTTTTAATATTCAAATCAAAAATTAAATATTCATATACTATATTTCTTATATTTGAAAAAAGCCAATTATATTTTGGTACCAGGAATTAAATACTTAAATTACTGTTTTTTTCCTTGTACAGAATTTAAGTAATAAAGTTTGCATCTTGTAAAAAAATTTCCCAATCTCTTATGAAAAATTTATAAAGTTGGTGGTTTTGTTATTAAATGTTTCACCTTTTTACGTACAGATCTAATATGCAACAAATAAATGAAATATAGCATATTCAATAAATTTTCATGCATTTTGACTCATTTGGTGTATTCTAGCATTACAATATATTTAGTTTAACTATTACTTATTGACATAAATAAATCTATTTATATACTGTATTCTAGATAGATCTATTATTAGTACAAAAAATGGAATATTTGTTTATTGTTTATCCGATTAGACAATGCCATAATTATTCAATTAGTTGTAGGTTTTCTTTTTCCTATATTATGAAAAATATCTATCAACAGAACACACAAATAACACTTTTTGCATAGACTTATAGTTACAGCTACAAAGATGATGTCAATGAATATGTGTGTTGTACAAAATAGTTTTGGATAACGCGCTCAATTTTTAGTATAACACGTGGGCTGATTTAAAAATTTTAAACAGTGTTGCCAGAATATTTTCTTTTTTCAAATGATATTTCGTAGATATAAAACCATATGCGGCTAACTCAAAATTTTGCAATTTTTCAATAATAAAGTTTTCCTATTATATTCAGGATTTAAGACCATAAGGAGATATGTAAAATTCTAAACGGTAACAAAACATAACAAATTTTTGGTAGGCAATCGAGGGTTGCTACAATTTTCAAATCCAGTTTTCTGTAAAGTACGCTTTCATAGTTACTTGTGTATGGTTCTATATCGGTGATTTTTCTATAATTTATATATCTATTAAAAAAAAAATTATTAGGTTTCGCTATTCGCTATTCGAAATTCGACACAACGGCCGATTAGCCGAGGCGGATAAAGCGTCGGCCTACCGTTTTGGAGGATACGGGATTGAATCAGGAGCAACCCCGAAAAGTTTTCATGGGAGGTATGTTCCGAATATGTCGGCTCCGTCCCTTACCGTCCGATTGCCCTTATTGATTTGGCCGAATCCATGATGGGTATATAAAAAATCTTAGTGCCCACAGGACGGAGAGCCAAAAATAATGTACTAGATGTAGACATTTAAGTGTTGCTGTGTACACTACACTTAAGTATTTATTGCTTTTTAAAGACTGTTTTATTACATTTTATTTATTAACTTAACCTTGTATGTAATGTTACAAATTTATTAATATGTATCATAAATTTGCTTGCGTTGAAATTATTTCAACGCAATAATTCTATTTCGGATCCACAGAGCGTCGATTAACGTATCTAACCGCCTTGGCCATCTAACAGACACTCTTACCTTTCTACAAATATTAACAGAGCTTTTATTTCATGCGCAATGGAGATTCGTCTTTCACAAAATAGAATGATTAAATAGGAGGCATGAGGTTAAATGCTCTTCTTAACTTCTAAAAAGTCGCTTCTTATCCCGATTTTTAAGTTATATCATTTTACACACAGGATAGTAACAGACTTTACTAGACGGCCGTATGGCCGAGCGGTCAAGGTAGCAGCCTACCGCTCTGGGGAACCGAGGTCGAAGAATCCCCAGGAATTTTTCAGGGGGCCGTTTGGATGTGTCGGGCCCCGTCCCTCATCACCCGGCCGCCCTATTGTGGGCCTAGCCAAACTCATAATGGGCTTGCTAAAAAGAGACTCTCTTAGTGCCCACAGAGTGGAAAGAATTAAAAAAAACAGATCTTAGTAAATCATCTTTTAATTTTCACATACATAAAAAAAAGTTCTTTAAAATAATATTAAACCCGACTCAGGCATAAGTAAATACTTTGTAAATTCTTTATCCAACAAGGCAAAATTTCAATTTTATGATAAATGACAAATAAAAACTATTGATAAAATTTCATCGTAAGGAATTAACTTACGGCATAAAATTATGGTCATACAATTCAAAAAAATGAAATTGAAATGAAATTGTTAAATATTTTATATTAAATTTAATTATTTCAAGGCAGAAAATAATATTTGTTTTTTTGTTTTTAATATAATAATAGTTAAATTATTAATATGAGCATTCTTTTTTCACGTAACTCGTATCGATAATTACGATTACTTTAATGGAGCGACTGCATTTATATTGATTGGCAATTATGTTTTAAAATTAATTTAATTATTGATTTAATATTAATAAAATTCATAAAAATATAATCGACATGTAAAAATAAATTTATTTAAAATATAATATTCTAAAATCCACTTTATTTACGTTGGGCTATAAAAGCGAATTTTTTGGCTAATTGTCAATCCAGTTTTTAAAATGTGCGCAGACGACATTTCTGGTTCAATTTTTAAATAAATGAAACTTAAAAAAGATTCGATTAAATGAATAAATAATAAATTATGTCGACATGTTATTTATTTAGACTTTATTACATGTAATTTTTTCAAAAATTAAAGCCGATTTTCAACCGAAAGGGACGCTGGTATCTCAAAATGGCGTCGATTGTGCGTCGGTGAGTATTTCGGCCAAAAGAAGAAAAATAATTTTATTAAACATTTAAAAAAATATAAAGCGGCCCGATTTGATTATAAAACAAAAGTAAACTTACGCGGGGGGCGACGTTGTGTGACGTCAAAAAGCGATTTGGTTCCGTTACGTAGAATATTCATTTTATTTGAATTATTTTTAATTATTCCGCGTCAGGAAGCGAAATATCGCATTTAATTTTTAATATAGTCGAAACTCGATCGATTTTCCAATTAATTACCAATTTATAAGTATTATTTTTTTCAAATTTTTAAACCTGGTGACGTCACACATTCGTATTGTTTCCTCTTTGTAATCCGGAAGAAATAATTAATTTTTGTCCTATTTGAAAACCTTGGGGACGTTCGTTCAATTATCAATGAATAACAATTCGTCGGATTAACGCGTTAAGTTATTTTACAATCGAATTTAATTCACAATAAGAAATATCGGCGTATAAATTTCAATTTCTATTACTTTTCAAATGTACGAGAGAATATTTTTGAAATGGGCAAAATTAAAATAAGGAAAAAAAACAATGTTTCCTGTCAACATAATTAATAATAATCTCTCCAGTTTGACTACTTTCTTCAAACCGCATAATGTCACGCTACTTGATAAAAGTCAATTTTTCCTTTCGAAAATTGTAAACAAAAAAATTTGATTTGCCATAATCTTTCGTCGAAATCAAAATTGTTTCTCAGAATGTATGCGCGATCTTACTTAATGGTCGAGATATTCGGTAGATCTTATTTACTGTTGTTCTTTTTTAATTTTAAAAATTAATTTATAATGTACTGTACTTTATAGGGACCTATACAGATTTAATAGAATACAGCAGTACATGTTAAAGCTAGAAATTCTAATGGATTTTTATGTCAGAAGTTTCTGAATAAGTATGTATTTTTATGCATTCATATACTTATATATTTTATATTTATCATTTAAATATTTGATTTTTAAGTAAACACCTTTAAAAATTATAAAAGAAAATTTTATTACTTGTAAATTACTCAATAGATTTTATGTTAGTTTGTTAATTGCTAAAAAAAAGAAAGTATTGTAATTATTTTTACCATTAAACTATAAATGCGGAGCCGTCGAGACCTTGCGTGATGCCCAAACTGTAGGTAGACCGCTTTAGCCTTTTATTTTTTGAAGAAATGAAAAGTCTAGAATGTTTCTTTATTAATAAAAAGCAATCTTGATTTTATTTTCTGTTAGTAAAAATAACGTTAATTTTATAGGTCTCTAAGTTTTTTTGGTTCTAGGGAAAAATCCCTAGCTCTCCTTTTCTTGACGGCCCTGTATAAATGATACGATTTACAATATAATTTATCAAATTAAGATATTCTTTACCTCTTAAGAGTAGTGTTTACTACAAGTCCTTTTTCTGCTAGGTGCAGCATCATCTTATTTAATCAGTGTCATTAAATCTAGTTTATTTTTAATATTGTTAGTTTTATATGATGATTACAAAGCATATCTAAGTCCAAATATTTGACTCTCCTCTGATATTATGAAATGATATAGCAAACATTACATGATACAGAAAAAGATTTATTTTGAATTTCATATTTTATTTATTGTCATAGACTGTAGCTTTTCTTTATGGATAATTTTTGTATAATTTTATTGTCATAGTTTAAAAGACATTAACAGACGTTAGCATTATGAGAAAATCTGAAGTTTCATTTTCAATGAAATTATTAAATGATAAATTCATCTATATTATCAGTTGTTGATTAATGCGACAATTTACAATAATTAGATTTGATTTTTTATTTATGTATCCATCTATTGTTTAAAATAATACAGTCATTAGGTACAAACTAATATAAATACTGCAAAATATATGCTACAAGCTTAAGAATATAAAAATATGATTCTCATTAAATTAGATTTTAAGATTTAAATTAGATTTTAATTCCAAATTAAATTTAAAATCTAATTTAATGAGGATTTGTTTTTAATTCTTACTCAGATTTTGATCTAGTTCTGAAATTTTTCATCCTCAGTCCTTTATTGATGATAATTCTTCGATAGATAGCAATGTGAGTATTAATTTTTATCATAATATTGAGCATTTTTGGAATTTCGGAATGCCAATTTCATTGAGAATGTTTTCTTTCAGTTTTTCTTCTCTATTCCATTCTATGTAGACATCTAAAAACAGATTGAAATTTAGAGCCATATATATTATTAATTTTATATTCTATTTAACTAAACATTGAATACTTAACAAAAATAGATACCAAAAATTATATTTTGTTTCTGTCCTTATTGCTAACAGTAAGTGAACAGTCAACACAAACAGTAAACAAATGATAATAATAAAACTATTGCATGCTATGAAAAATAAATACTGTTTTATGGAGTAGGAAAAATTTATGGTTAAATTATTAATTACATATTTGGAATTAAGATACATATCTATAATCCATAATAAATGGTTTGTATTAACTGTAATTCATCAAGTTTTTTGATATATACATTAAAGTATTTTGTTGATTATTAATAAAAGAGAAGACTGGTTTTATATTTTTTTCTCTCTCTACTTAAGTATAGTAAAATTGTCCATCTTTGTCTTTTTCCTTGAATCAAAGAGAAAAATACTATTATTTGGATTTTATAATTACAAAGATATCAAACTATAAGTTTATATGTTAGGAATAAACTTGAAGAGGAAGTGAGGCACTTGGACTGACTTGTCCTGTGCCAGTTATTTGTTTATTTAGAGTTTCAGATGTTATCTCTTAAGTCTGTAGAAAATAAATATTCAAGGTTTAAGTGTTTTTTTTTTTTTTTTAATACATGATAGAGTAGTAATGTTTATGGCATTATGCAAGATTATTCTTTATAAGCAAGCTTTTCATTTGTTCACTTATTGTAGTATTGTAAGCGTAACTAATAACTTTCAACTTCCAGAAAGTTATTTCATGATTTTTGCAAATTCTAGTTCATATTCTTCAATAAAGAATAAAAGATAGCATATTTTCTAGATACCATATAATTTTACTGTAATCAATGTAGAGCTCGCCCTATCTAAAATATCCTATGTCTGTATATAGTTCTATTCAAATACTTTTTATTAGTGGAATGCATATTACTATGGCAACTGTGTTAAAATTCAAATTTTTGTTAGAACATTTTGTTAATTGTGTTTTTGTAGTTTTTTTTTATCATTATTTCTCTCTGAAATCTGTAATTTTTTATGAAAACTAAATACTGAGCAAAAATGATTATTTTTCTTATTATTGATAAATATTAATATTGTATTTTGGAGTGTATTTTAATTCATTTTAAGCTGGGTCAAAGTACTGAAAGTAAGTTAATTGCTGTTATTGAATGTTATTCAATTAAAGTACAAAAATTACTTCATCATTAATACAGCATTGATAAAATTCACTCTATGGTAGACAATATTTTCCATCACAGCTTACATCATTTGCCTAAATTGGTATATTTATGAGTAGATTCAAAGATTGACAAAATTATGTAAATTGTTAAAACTATGAGAAATTGAAAGTGTATATTTTGGATTTAGGACAATGGGACAGGTTATTAGGAGAGGACACATTTTTTACAAAAAATATTGTAATTAATGAAATTTTAGTTTGAAAAAGTTTTTTGCATGGTTTTAATTAAAAATAAACTTTTTTTTTTTTTTTGTTATCCAGTCATTTTTGACAGGTTAGAGCTTATACTGAAAATAATAATTGACTGATAACATTAAGCAGGGTAAGTAAATAAGAAAATACTTAATGGAAATTCTACTTTTATTAATTCTAATGTTTTGTTTCCATATTACCATAAACAGACTCATTGAAAAAATGGTTTCCATTCTTATTTTGTTTTTGTTCTATATCCACTATACCAGAAATTGGGCATAGAATTTCTCAGCACACTTAGAGCCAACAACAAAAACAATAACAAGCAAAAATGAATGACACTACTTTGATAATGTATATCTTGTCAGTATGAAATTTGCTTCTTATCAAAGCAAAGGTAAAAATTAGTCATAAATGAATTCTTTTATTCTCTTTTTCCATCATTTAATTTAAAAGCTTTACGTTGTCAAATAATGTTGCCAGCAGTTTAAAAAAATTACATTACCAAAATATCATTCTCTAATTGGTCTTGTATAAAAATGGAATGTATAGCAGAACAGTAAAGTAGAAATTTTTATATTTTTTCTATCTGGAATCTGTTTGTTTGAAATTTCTAGATAGGAAATGACAATGTTTCTTCAGGTTTCTGTTTCATGTTTTAGTAATGTGGAAACCAAGCTTAACTTTAAAAGGACATTTAAAACAATTTAATAAATCTTCAGGTTATACATTTTTTATTATCAACATAATTATTATTAGTTAATAGTAATTCATCCAGTATATAATTAAAGTAATAAATGTAGCAAATTAAATAATTGTACTGCAAGCAAATAATGGTTAAAACAGTTAATGTTTGATGCTTAAAGCATTGATTTCTGTTTAATTGATATTGATTGCACATTATCAGTTATGTGTTGATGCTAGTAACAAGAAAAAAAGACAGCTTAAATAGACCTGTTTATCTGAAAATAATGATAATTATTGCCAAAACCCTGATTATAACAAGTGAAATTTTATAAGTACAGTAGACCCCCTATAGCACGGATTCATATAATGTGGATTCATATATTGCGGCGAAAAAATTGCGACCGTATTCATATAAAGATGCTAACAGAGACTCGTAAAATGCGGTAAAACGTCATTGCCGACTCGTGTCGCGACAGGATTGGGCAAATCTGGAGCAATAGTGGATGAGCAACCAAACTACTTACATGCTACGGAGAGTTTAGGCGGATAAGTTGAGTTTACTCTCGTCTGTACAGTATATAGGCCTAAATTAGGTACTGTAAGTCTAATACAGTACTGTAATTTTATACATTTCTTGTGAAAAAANTATAAAAATAATACAAAGTTATTTTAAACACTGACTTTAAAGATATTGCAGATAAATAAAATGTAGTTTTAAAACTATGTGGGTTTAATAATAATAATAATTTTTTTAAATTAAAAAATAAAACTATAGTTAATTGAAAAAAATTATAAATTTTTTGATATAAATAAATGTGCTAGTAATATATCTTAATTGACATAAAATTTATATAAAATAACGACTACCATATTCATTTTTGTAATAATGTTGAATCCTTTCCAAAACATAATTATTTGATCAGATATTTATCATCGATCAGCTT